TGGATCCAGCGGAGTGTGGCACCGCGCAGATCCGAGCTGGACCTTGTCGTCCCTGAGCGGCTGCTGCCTGCGCAGCTGTCGCCACTTTCGAGGGCTGCTGGTGGGTCCTGCGGAGTGAGGCACCGCGCAGATCTGAGCGGGACCTCGCCGTCCCTGGGGGGCTGCGATCTGCGAAATTGTCGCCACTTTCGAGGGTTGCTGGTGGGTCCAGCCCAGCAGAGGGAGGCACCGCGCAGATCTGAGCGGAGCCTCGCCGTCCTTGGGGGGCTGCGATCTGCGAAACCGTCGCAACTTTCCCAGGCTGATGGCGGTTTCAGCGGAGCGAGGCACCAGGCAGATCTGAGCGAGACATCGCAATCCTTGGGGGGCTGCGAGCCTCACGAATACCGCTCGCAGAAGTATATGCGCCCATGTCACGTCATCACAATCGTATAACGTCTCCCAAGCTATTCATGCCCCGCAATGCGCAGGGGTTGGGTACGTCGCCAGGGTAATTTTTGATTCCCAGGTCACAATGTATCTTGGGCGTCCTCCTACTTCAAGACTCCGTATGCTCTTGATGTGTTGTTGTTATACTCTTGGGAAGGCCTGAGCCCAATCCACTTCATCTGCCTTTCTACTTCACGTTCTACCCACATCTCCCGACCGACGTGTACTCATCTGGAGCACTCATCTGGAGTAGACGTTGAGGTGGGGTGGGGTGAGGGTTTCCGAGAAACGAAATAGGAGGCAAAGAGGGAGGCACTCGGCGGCGAGCGACGGGGGGAAACGAGAAGGCAAAGGCCTCTCAGAAGGCGGTGGGACTGCTCAGAAGCCCCCCGTGCCTTCTGACAAGTTTTCCGCGCCTTCGGGGGAGCCTTTACGCTATTGGAGAGGCCTGACGGCCGGTGCCGCCGACCCTGATCGAAAGGGCTAGGAGTGGGGGGAGTAAGCGGAGGAGGAGGAGGAGGAGGAGCAGGAGGAGGAGGAGGAGGAGGAGGAGGAGGAGGAGCCTTTACGCTATTTCTCAGAGCGCCCCCGGGCTCCGGAGCCTTCTGGCAGGGCCCGCCCCTTGTCGACTCCCTCGCTCGGCTCGCCGCCGCGAACGGCGCAAGCCGCGCCACCCTGCTGGGTGGGAGCGGGCAGAACAGGAATACAGTCGGGGCGCTCAGGAAGGAACCCTTTTCGTTGGGGAGGGGCTCCGTGTTCCTTAATTGTTTCGCAGCTTGCATTCGATTTTCCTTAGGTTTCCGATACGAAATCGAAGTTCAACTTATGGAAAATAGGGGCCTCGTTCCTTCTTTAGGGTTCCTTGGGTCAACGCCTCGACGGTACCCGTCATGCGTCACATCCCTTGACCAGCGTGAACAACGCAAATCATGTCGGGGCTCGAGGCACGGGGGTCAATGCAAACGGGGCTCCGTCAGTCAGAGCGCCGGATCTTGCAGGATCCGGCACAGCAAGGGGTGCACTGTCCCAGAGGCTGGGGCAGGATCCTGCGGGATGCTGCAGGATCCCGCGAGGCCTGACTGCCCAGGTCCGGATTGACCTGGGTCAGAAGGTCCCCGATCATGTCGGGGCGCCGATGAGGCGTGTCAGCGCTGAAGTGGGCGAGCCAATCCCCTCCGATCCCTCTTGGCCGACCTGGGTTCAGGAGCCACGTTGAGCCGACCCTTCCCTCCCTCCTCCATCCGCTGACCCTGGTCTGGGAGCTACTGAGCGTCCAGACAGGTTGCGCTGTCCAGGTTAGCGCGTTTTCCGATGATAGGGAAAACGGGCAAATTTGGGTGTTGCCCACTTAGGGCGTATCTTGTTCTGCATGCTCTAATCAATCATTTTGTGGCCGTAGCCGCTTCCTAGGACGACGCGCGCCATCTTTGAGCAAATCCCGAAATTTCGCGCACCGGGATCCACGTGACAAGTCTCGGAGGAGGGCCCAGAACCCCGACGCCGTGATTGTCTGACACATCAGGCCTTCGGCAGTCTGGACCCATTCCCGGGGCCGGCTCTTCATCCCGATCCCAGGGACCAAGACCAGTTAACATGTTCCGCCGTGGCTTATTCATCGCGTGAAGGGGGCTGGGAGGATAAGCGAGGCGTCCACCACATCCAGGGAAGAGGTTCACGAGTTATTCAGATGGGCGGTTTAGTCTGACACATTTGGAAACAAGACCCCGTATGCCAACTGTTTTCGGCCCCCCTAGTCTAGGTCCCCACCAAACGGGTTTTGGTGTATTTTCAGACCTCCTCGATGCGATCGGATGCGCCCACGATGGCGTCACAAGAGCGCTAATTACCATAATCCGTAGCCATTTTGGCTCAAGGCCTTTTCGCAGTAGTCGGCTTTGCCGTCTTCTACACCTTCTTAACGGTGAATTGTTCACTCGAGAACCGAACCGGCAGCGATGGCTTTTTGCGAGGCTTGGCACTGGTGGCCCTGGCCGCCCGCGCAGGAGCACTTACGGTTGAGGCCGAGCGCGCGCAGGTAGAGTGAACTCTATTGTTTCGACAAACAGCGCCCTATTACTTCTCTGTGGGTGAATTGTCGGACAATTATGCTGTGTTGGATCAAATAGAAAACTACTGCTACGACGGAAGCTTCACGTTAAAGTTGAGCTGGCCAGGTTCTGGACGGCAGGATCAGGTATGGAAGCAGACGCTCAACCCAGTCACATCACCAGGCCAGCAATCAACCAGGCCAGTCGCAGGCTATGAGGCGGTGGATGTCGCCTATACAAATTCGTATTGGGGAGGCTTAGGAAGTGGTGGTGTCAATTCGCTCTTGCATGGAGACGTAGTGCATAGCAATTGGTGGTACGCATTTGGTTCTTTCGCGGCATTCGGCGGGGGCAGCGGTGGCATCCCTGGCCCCACCTCCACAATCGTGCAACAGGTGGAGCTCTACGTGGCGACGCCGGCCTCGACGCCCAACCCGACGCCGAACCCGACGCCGCATCCGACGCCCAGCCCGACGCCCAGCCCGACGCCCAGTCCGACGTCCACCCCGACGCCGGACCCGACGCCGAACCCGACGGTCAACCCGACCCCCAGCCCGACGTCCAACCCGACGCTGAACTCGACGCCCAAGCCAATCCCCAGCCCGACGCCCAGCCTGACGCCAGGACCAACAGCTCCAGTCACGAGCGGGCGGAAGTGGAGTCGTTGCTGCCACTGGTGATCCCCATTTGAAAAAAGTTCTTGGCCAGCGGTTCGACCTGATGATGCCCGGAAAGCATGTTCTCATAAACATCCCCCGTGGAAGGCGTTCCAATGCAATGCTTCGCGTAGAGGTTGAGGCGCATCAATTCGGAGGGCAATGCGCAGACATTTCCAGGAGCTGAATATCACGGGTGGGTGGGTGGATGCGAAGGAAACCGAGGGTCTCCGTTTCCTAGCTCAGGGTGCGCGCGAAGAGCACCCGCAGTCGTTACAGTTTGGGGGCGTAGAACTCAAAGTCGCCCATGGGCGCACTGAGCAGGGCGCCCGGTACTTGAGCTTCTACGTCAAACACTTCAAACACCTTGGGCTCGGTGGGTTTGCCGTCGGAGGGTTGTTCGGAGAGGATGATCACACCGAGGCACCGATGGCTTCGAAGGCGTGTGCTCACCGCCTTTCCCTTGGTCGGATAGTGGCTCCGAGTAAAAAAAAGTGCACGCGTCTTCTCGCATGCAGACGCAAGCTTAGCATGATGAGCTGCGCGCGGATTGACGGTAATCTACATAGTATACAAGTAGCGGGGGACCGGCCCCAGAGCCCCGGGGCCGGAGCCCCGACCGCGGATGTGTGTGCGGGGGGCCGGGCCCGCACCATTCTCAGGCTGTCTTTTTGGCAGGGGTTCTGAGATTTCTGTGCATGGCTTGTGCCTCAAGCCACCGCTTTGAGGCTGCTGCGTGGGTCCCATCCCCCAGCATGTCTGTACTGCGGTCCACGAGAGCCGCCGCAGGTTCCTGCAGAGCGCCCAGCTGTGAGGCGTTCATCTCGGGGTGCCCAGCGATTAGAAAAAGAGTGCTGGTTGCAATAATGGCTCGCGCGCCAGCTCCTTGCTCGGGCAAGGCTGAGCGGACACCCATATCAGGACTCCGGTCGGCTGGGCGGACGATGAAGAAGAGGGAGCGAAGGAGGAGGAGGAGGAGGAGGAGGAGGAGGAGGAGGAGGAGGAGGAGGAGGTGGAAGCGAAGGAGGAGGAGGAGGAGGAGGAGGAGGAGGAAGCTGAGGAGGAAGCGGAGGAGGAGGAGGAGGAGGAGAAGGAGGAGGAGGAGGAGGAAGCCGGCGCGCGGGCGATCCGGCGGAGGCGGGCACCTGGCCGGTGATGCGCCTCCGCCTACCAGGCCGTCGCGGGTTCGCTCGGCGTCAGGGGGCGGCGCGCAGGGAGGGCGAGCGGGCACGCGGTCCGCCAGGAGGAGGAGGAGGAGGAGGAGGAGGAGGAGGAGGAGGAGGAGGAGGTCCTTCTGGTGATTCATAATGACCGAACGAATCGCATAGCTTCGCTGGCGATGGACCGTTCAAGTTTCTGACGTATCAGCTTCCGACAGGTAGGGTATTGGCCTACCGTGCCAATGACGGGCAACGGAGAATTAGGGTTCGATTCCGGAGAGGGAGCCTGATGGGTATTGGTCAGTCGCAGCTGTTGTCCTCGCCGTCCCGTGGTGCCTTCCTCTCCTTCTCCAGGGGCCGCATGGGCCCCGCCCCGCCCCCTGGAGGGTCCCCTGTTGTTACCGTCTTGCAACGCGTAGCCTAGTTTGATTATCCTCCCCCCAGGGCGACCGCCCTTGGAAGGGGAGGGGACTGCAACATCCCTCGTCGGATCAGCGCCAGGAGCGTCCGGGAGGCGGGGGAGGAGGACCCCGGGAATCTGGAGCGACAGAACGCACTTGTGTATGAGTCCGCGTCGGTTTCGAAAGTACGCCTTGCGCGGACGTTCGCAACTCGAGGTTGACCTCGCGGAGTGGGGGGCTGCGCCTACGTACGCGGTGGGTCGCGCGCGTCATTCTTGTGGGCCCCCGAGAGAAACCGACCCGCAGGCGAGCCCGCGCCCGGCTTGGGATTCGCCGCGTTCGGCGAGCAGTCGGAACTCGGCGCCCTCTTCGCGAAGGCCCACTGGCGTGTACCGCAGGGCCGCTGCCGCTTCTGCGTGGCTCTCGTGGTCGGTGCGGTCGAGGCCAGGCACTCGAAGCAGAAAACAGCAACATGGGCATGAACATTCGGAGCTCGGCGCGGATTTCTTGCATGGGAGGGGGGCCCTGGCGGCGCCGGCATTGGCTCGCTCCGCCAGGCAGGGGGTCCAGCGCCGATCCAACGAACCCGCGCGGACCTCCGAGAAATGAGGTGTATGCAGGCTTTGAGAGTTCGAGCGCGATCGACATGGGCACGGAAAGAATGGGTGCGAAAACTGACAGCTTTGCCCGCCCGCTTTGAACCAGATTCGTTGTCCGCGTCGCCCCGGACGTTGCCCAGTTGAGACGGAAACGGCCGTTGTCGGTTTCGGAGGACCTTCCGAGACCGACAACGGCAGTTGTGCGCGCTGCGTCCTTGCCCCTCTCGGGCGCCCAAGTCGGAGTGAGTACGAGAGGAGCGGGGGCGAAGACTGGCAGCAGTGCCAGCCTGGAGCCGGCTGGGGCGGTGAGGTGGCCCAGTTGCGGGTCCCGGCCAGCAGAGGGGCAGAGGAAGGCCCCCCCGGTCGCCACGGGCGTCGGCGGTTCGGGGAGCGAGTCGGGTTGGACCCCAGGAGGGGGTTGTGGAGTTTTGTCCATGGATATGCCCCCGCCCTCCCCTCTTTCGCAGGCCTAGAGGTTGACACCGACACCAATGTCGGCGGTGTGCTTCCAACGAGGGAAGAAGATCCCGGTCTCGGTGACGGTGGTGATATTCTGGCTTCCAAGGTGGCCGACATATTACCACCAACACCGAAATTTAGGATCATCTTCCCCCTGTGGAGAGGCAGCCCCCTGTGTTGGGTGTTGGTGCCCATGTCCAGGCCTCCAAGCTCTTGACCGCATCACTCGGGGCCCGTCCAGCGGTGATCTCCGTGGCCGCTTCACGCTTCTGCTGGCTGGTTTTGAGCAGGGTTTGCCGTCGTCCTCGCCGCGGGCGTGGCCCATCTGAGCTGCGAGGTCGTCTGCCCAGCAGGGGGCGCCGTCAGTGTTGGACTGCATGTGCGGTTTCACATCGTGCCCACGCTGCTGCTTTTGTTCCTGGCGTGTCAGTTTGAAACCCGGGCCCTGCAGATGTTGCACCCTGTGGCGTTTCCGCTCGGATTCGGGCACAGTCAAGGGCGACGATATATGGGGGGAACGGCCAAGGGGGGGACGCACCGGCCCCCAGACGCCCACTCGTTGGTGATGTTAGCCCGATGGCCCACCCCCGCCTGGGGACGTTCGGTTTCTCAGTCGGCAGCCCATCGCCGAGCGATCGGCGACGTACCGCCGCTTCCAGGTTGAGATCTTCCCCCCGAGCCAGTTCACGCAGTCGCTTCTCACACCTGGCCCTAACAGACGGATCCAGGTGCCGCAGCATGGTGGAGGCCGGAGGCTGTGCTAGTTCACCGTGCTCGGCTGTCCGCGCTGTCGGAGCCTCGGGACTCCGGGCACGTGAGTGAATTTCGGAGGGGATCGATGTACACACCGCGTCGCCTGGTCTGCTCAGGAGCCACTGAGCTCGGCGGAGGAATTCGGTGCACAGACGCCCGAGCGGCGTCCCACGGGATGGGCAGCTGCGGCGTCAATACACCTAGCTCCTTTGCCGACCAAGGGACGTGGTGGATTGTGAAGGCCTTACGGTCGGTGCCGCCGACCCTGTATACGAGGAGGACAGGGAGATGGAACAGGTGGACGATGATGGATGGGTGGGCCTTCAGGGGATCTACGAGTCATCTTAGACGTCTCGAACTGGCAGCCGGCGGTAAACCGTCAACCAGGTTACCGCCGGAACCCTCGTAGAGCTCTCAACACACCAAATTAGTGCCCAGATAACAAGGGAAAAGCGTTCTGGAATGTCAGCTTCAAAACTCACAAAATGTATTTTTCGGGTTTTATACGACGTCCGAGTCCCCTGTGTGGGCACGCTGTGGGAACCGTCTTGGGGCCCCTTGGGCCGTCTCGGAGGCCACTTGCGCTGTTTGGGACTCTCTTGGGTCGATTCGGAGCCCTCTTGGAGACTTCTGGGGCTATCTTCGAGCGATCTTGGGGCGATCGCGGAGGCCTCTGGGGACGTCTTCGAAAGTCGGGAAGTCGAGAAGGCCAGAACACCCAAATCGCTCAAACATATCAGGATAATGTATGATTTCTACCCATTGGAGCCCTTTACGGAGCTCTCTTGGAGGCCTCGTGGAGTGTCTGGGAGGTGTCTTGGATCGTATGGAGGCCACTTGTGGCGTCTGGGACAGAACATTTGCGGCCGTCTTGGACCGTCCGTCTCGGAGGCACGAGACCCACCAGGCCATCTTGAGGTTGGTAATTTAGGCCACGGGACCCCCCAGGAAGGAGGAAGGATGGCATTCTGACCCGGGACCCCGTCCCGGGAGCTCCTCCCCCCGCGGATCTGTCCGCGCCCCTTTCGGGATACCCTCCTTGCGGGAAGCCACCCCCCCGGGACCGTCCCCCTGGACCCTCCCCCGGGACCTTCCTCTGCGGGATCCCCCCGGGCCCTTCCCCAACCCCCTGCATGGGACACCCCCGGGACACTCCAGGACCAGCACCCCGGCGGGGAAGGGATCTATTGAAGGGAAGGGCTTCCCTTCGACTCGACTAAGACTTTGCTCAATTGCGCTTTGGCTGCGGCGCGCATGAGGAGGAGGGCCCGGGGAGAGGGGGAGAGCGGCGACGGTGACGACGATAAGGACGGCGAGGGGGACAGGCGTCGGCGACGGCGATGATGACGGCGACGGCGACGGCGACGGCGACGGCTACGGCTACGGCGACGACGACGACGAGGACAACGACGACGACGGCGACGGCGACATCGACGGCGACGAAGGCGGCGGCGGCGGCGACGGCGACTTCGACAACGAAGAACGGAAGACGGCGGATGCGGGAAAATTCGGTCCGCCGCGCCCCCCCCAGGAGAAGTCTGCGGGATCTCCGGGAGACCCGAGGTCCTTGATGGCACGTCCCTGGGAGGGTCGATGATCCTCAGTGTGTTAGCCCAGTGGCTTGGCATCGTTCGGACGTGTGCATGTTTCCTTCGGCGAGGACCATCGAGGAGCATCCTTGACCATTTGGCGAAAAACCACCCACGAAATTTAAAAAAAAAAAAAAAACAGGGAATGAACTTCCGAGCGATGGCGAGTGCGTGTTTGCCCCGCTCAGCTCCAGCGATGGGCCACTGCACCGCTTTCGTCGCATCGATGGGCTTCGGTTGACAGGGTTTCTTCCAGAGCGTCCCACCCTCCGCGCGGGAAGCAGCGGCCACCATCCCGTCCGGAGAAACAGTATTCGGGCATCAGGGGCCCAGCCACTTCTTGCCGATGGAGGGGCGGGAAGGAGAGGCGGAGGAAAGGACGGGGACAAGATGATCTACCCGCCAGTAGCTCACAGCCGCGCAGCTCGAAGCACTGCACTCCCCAGCCCAGGATGCCAGAGTCGTTCTGGGCCCAAGTGTGCTGCCAGATGATCTGAGCTTCTTTTTACAAGTGCACGTTGGCGCCAACACACGCTCTGGCTCGAAGAGGAGAAAGTGCACAAGCATCAGGTGTGGGAGGTCCGCAAGGGATGCTTGGATTGGCGCTGGACCCCGTCGTTGACGCGCGGAGCGCTCCATGGGCGGCGCCAGAGGCACCGCCATGGGGTCCAGCGCTGGTTGAAGACGTCCGCGCGGAGCTCCGAAGCCTTATGCTGATGCTCTTGCTTCGCTCACGACGTGTGTGCCAGTGTTTCTAGAGGTCCCGGCTGTAGCCTCTTTGGGGTCTTGCGGTTGTTCTCGAGCTCCCGTGGGGCCCTCCAAGTAGATTTTCCGCAGATCGCGCCCGTTACTTTCTCGCGAGCTGCCTGGAAGGGACAGCGTGGTAAGCACACCTTTCGCCCGCCCCAGGGCCGCCTTTATAAAATAGGGCTAGGATCGGGATAAATCGCTCCAGAGCGTTCCGGAGCGCTCTCAGAGCGTTCCGGAACGCTCTGGAGCGGCCGCGGCGCCCAATACATCCTCCAAACCCGCCGATTCTCAGAGATTTCGAGTTATCCCGATCCGATTTTGTCCCGATCCGCCTTCATGATCGTTGACAGCTGTTCGGTTTGTTTCTCCACGGCAGGTTGACGCCGCGTTGCCGGACGCGGCGGCGACCCCTGCGTGGGCGCTCCCGGTGGAGCACCACCAGCTGCTCGAACTCGGCCAGCACGGACCGACCTCCTGCGCGGGACAGAACGATCCACGAAGCCCAACATTCGGGAGGAAAAGAAGCACACAGACACAGTCAATCCTCGATTCCCCAGACAAGATGGGAAAATGTGGGAAGTCTGGGGGGGAAGGCAGAAAACCAAAACAAAAAATGGGAAAGTATGGGGAGTCTGTTTATCTGTGTGTAGTTATTTGTGTGTCCTGGGGCCCCTTCAAACATGCACACACACCATCGCTGCTCGGACGTGCCGCGAGCGCACGCTCCGAAGGCCGAGCGGCGCGCCCCCGCTGCACCCCAGGCGCTGCCGGCCCTCGACGCGGGCGCCGCGCAGAGCTTCGCCGCCCACGCCGTGGCCCAGCTGTCGGAGCGCTACGTGTCCGAGGGCCCTCCGCCGCCGCCGCCGCCCTCGGCGGCCCTCGGCGGCCCTCGGCGGCCCTCGGCGGCCCTTCGGCGCTTAGTGGGCCCTGGAAACGACAGGGCCGTTTTTGTTACTGGTGCCGTGATGCCGTTTTTGTTGCCGGTTAACCGACGCCGTTTGTGGTACCGGTTCCGTCGCCGTTGTTTGACCGGTTCCGGTTCCGGCTCCGGTTCCGATCCTGGAGCCGTTATTTTTGTTGCCGTTTCCGGTCGCCGCTTTTTTTACCGCTTCCATGTTCAAGGGGCATTTTTTGGGGAAACGTTGAAAAAACGGCCCTGCCGTTTCCGAGGCCCACAAAGGGGAGGATTATCGACCCTCCCAGGGGGACCAGGATCAATCGGCACGGGTCGGATCCAACCGCATCGGCAGGGAGTCCGAACCGATTCGCACCGGCGGAGCCCAAGATACAAACGATGCACAGCAGCGCCGTGCAAACATCGGGTCGAAACGGTGAAAAAACGGCAGGGGGCCCACAGAGCTTCGGCGGCCCCTCGGCGCCCCTCGGCTCGAGGGCCTGGGCCGCGCCGCCGCGGCGGCGGCGGCGCCGTCGGCGACGAGGCGGCCGACGGCGAAGGGGGTCCCCTCGTCTCGGGGGCGGAAACGAGGGGGGTGATGACTAGGGGGGGGGGTATCATGGCGTGGGCCATGATATGTCCCCAGATTTCATGGCGCCTCTTCTCATCTCATTGCGTCCCTGGCCCTCGCTGAGCCGCGCACATGCCGCCGGTCATGATTTGCACCCCCCCTCTTGGACACCCCCCTCTTGGCCGCTCCCGATCGTCACCGTGGTCGCCCTCGTCGCCGCCTCCTCGGAGGGCGGAGGTCACGGCGACGGCGGCATGGGGGATCCCCAGGGGCCTTTGGAGATCGCTGGCGTTCTCCTGCCAGCGTCGCCGGAGGAGGAGAGGGAGGAGGAGGAGGAGGAGGAGGCGGAGGAGGAGGAGGAGGGGCACGATGGAGGACGAGGGGGACGATGGCCCCAGCAGAGATGCAGACAGGCCCGCAGCGTTGCAGCCTCGCAGGCGGGGGAGGAGGAAGGGGCTGCGGAGGAGGAGGAGGAGGAGAAGGATGAGGGCGGGGAGGAGTGGGGAGGAGGAGGAGAAGGAGGAGGAGGAGGAGGAGTAATACGAGGAGGGGGAAAGGAGGCAGGCGGAACAATAATAGTTTGAGAATTGACCCTCCTGCCCCTCATCCACCTGCCCCTCATTCTCCTTCTCATCCATTCCTATCCTCTTCCTCCTCCTCCTCAACCTCCTCCTCCTCCCACCCCTCCTCCTCCTCCTCCTCCTCCTCCTCCTCCTCCTTCTTATCCTTCCCCTTCTTTCCCCCCACGTCCCTTCTCTTCTCCTGACGCCTCCTCCCCCCCTCCACACAGATCCCCCCCGCTCCTCCCTCCTTCTGAGCGGGAGGGGCGCCCGCGCGACCTCCCCCCCCCCCCCTGGGCCGCCCCCAAAAGCAGGCGCCGCCGCCCTGGGCGAGCTGTCGGCCCAGCTGGAGCGGCACGGCGCATCGCTCAAGCAGGCCCTCGTGGGGGCCGCCCCCCCCCCCCCCCTCACGCCACCCCCCGATTGGTGTGTGCATGCTGCGTCTGCGCTGCTGCGCTGGGGCCGAGGCGGCAGCTGGCTGCTCTCTGTGATTCTTAGGCTTACGCCACACCGCCGACCCCTTGTTTATGCCAATCTGGGGGTAGTAGAAGCTGCGAAGGGGTGAAAAGGCGAGTGATATTTGTTTGGTGTCTGTTCGCCGCCACCGCCAGAGGGTCTCGGGCAGTTCCGCGGGGAGGTCCGAGCGGACAGCGACACTGCGAGTTTTGGAGCCACTCGGGGGCCGTTTCGGAGCCTCTGGGGTGCTTCTTGGGGGTTCCTTGGGGCGTCTGGGCGGCCTCGTGAGGGCCTCTGGGGGCCTCTTGGGGCACTCTTGGGGCCCCCTGGGGCTCCTGGGGGCAGAAAGCTAGAGTTTCAACATGTTTGGTCGCCCTCTTGGGCCCCTCGTGGTGCCGTCTTGGAGCCCTCTTGGGCCGTCTTGGGGACCTCTTGGGCCGTGTTGGGGCCGTCTTGGGCCGTCTGGAGGCCGTCTTGGGGGCCTCTTGGGCCATCTTGGGGCTATCTTTGGGGCCTCTTTGCCCGTCTTGGAGCGTCGGGAAGCCGGAAAGGCGGAAAAGCAAAAAACATCGAAAAACACTCTGGAAAATCAGCAATTTTTGACTCTTTGGGCCCTCTTGGGAGGCTCATTTGGGACCTCAGGGGCCGTCTTGGAGACCTCTTGGCCCGTCTTGGGGCCATCGTGGGCGTCTTGGAGCGGTCGTTTGGCTTCTCGGAGCCTTCGTGGGCCGTCTTGGAGGCCTCTTGGGGGCTTCGTGGCCCGTCTTGAAGCCCTCTTGGGCCAGGAAAACCCGTGGAGCGCTCGTCCCGGAACCCCCCCCCCCCCCCTCCAAATCGACCGGACCGGGCTCCCGGGGGAGGGGTTTGGGGAGGGGGAAGCATCTCACACGCCGATGATCCCCAAGGGGTCGGCGGATCCCGCGCGGCTCGGAGAGGGAGGGCGCGCCTGCGGGAGCGAAGGGGATGGAGAATGATGATGATCATGATCATGATCATGATCATGATCATGATCATGATGATGATGATGATGATGATGATGATGATGATGATGATGATGATGATGATGATGATGATGATGCTGATGCTGATGATGCTGATGCTGATGCTGATGCTGATGCTGGATGCTGATGCTGATGCTGATGATGGTGATGGATGGTGATGGTGATGTAATGGTGATGATGATGATGATGATGATGAATGCTGATCTGATGCTGATGCTGATGCTGATGCTGATGATGATGATGATTATGATGCTGATGCTGTGCTGATGCTGATGCTGATGATGCTGATGCTGATGCTGATGCTGATGCTGATGCTGATGCTGATGCTGATTGATGATGATGATGATGATGATGATGATGATGATGATGATGCTGATGATGATGATGATGATGATTATTATGATGATGATGATGAGGAGGAGGAGGAGGAGGAGGAGGAGGAGGATTTTGGCATCGCTCGGACGTGTGCATTTTTCTCGGGGAGGACCATCGAGGAGCATCTTGGAGTCTCCTGCGAAAGAATAAGGCACACACGAAACCCAGACATGCACAGGGAATGGACGTCCGAGCGATGGCTGGGGGGGGGGATTGGATGGATGAGGGAAGAGGAGGGAGGAGGATGGAGAAAGAAGATGGATGAGGCGCTGAAAGGGTAGCCAGGAGATTGAGGCGGCTCGTGATGTGAGCTCAGATTTCTATTGGGCAGCTATCGGTCTCCCCCGTTCGGCCGAGATCGCTTACCTGGACTCGTGCGGCAGTGACGCATAGGCCTTTCCACCGGATTCACCGAAGCGACGCGAGGGGGGAGGAGATGGAGGAGAAAGGAGGGGGGACGAGGTATGAAAGAGAAGAAGGGAGGGAGGAGTCGCAGGGATGGAGAGGAGGAAGGGCGCAGACTTATTGTGTCCGCCAGACAGCAGACAGACGCTGTGAGATTAGCAGGGCCCCAGCCCTCGGGCAACTGCAGGGAAGGCGAGGGGCTTCGGGACGAGTCGACGAGCACCCTGCCAAATTGGCCGCAGCGGCGCCGGTCTCGAGCGCCGCCCATCTCGGTCTCATCACGCTGGGGAGGAGGCGGGGGAGGAGGAGGAGGAGGAGGAGGAGGAGGAGGAGGAGGAGGAGGAGGAGGAGGAGGAGGGGGAGGAGGAGGAGGAGGAGGAGGAGGGGGAGGAAGAGGGAAGAGGAGGAGGAGGAGTGAGCAGGAGGTGGAGGAGGAGGAGTGTTGGCAGGGGGGGAGGGGGGAAGGGAGGGAAGGGGAGGGAAGGAGGGAGGGAGGGAGGCTGGATTACCGAGCTCTCAGCTCACAGAGAATTCGTGCCGTAACTCGTAGTTTGTCTGACAAGTGGCCACATCCGTAAACTCAGTGGGGTGGTCGAAACATCTTGCGAGTGGCAGTGATAGGGCTAGTCCACAGGGGTGACGCCGCTGGCCGAGGTGGAGCGAGTCCAGGGGGATTGCTCAATGGGAGGCTTCGGCCAATGCCTGGTGGCAAGAAGGTTCCTGGGGCTGACGCTCGCCAGTCGGCGTTCGATCGAGATGGGATGGTGGCACTCACCAGCAGGCTGACCACGCATGACGCGGCCAGACTGGGCGAGAAGGTCACCTTCCGACTGAGCTTGCCCAATCCCGCCCCGCTCTAGCCTCCTCCTCCTCCTCCTCCTTCTCCTCCTCCGTCTGAAGAGGCACGTGTGGCCAGGTGTCTCTGCAGCGCTCGGCCGTGCTCGGTTTCATCCGGGGCCTTGCAGGCAGGGCCTCCGCGTGTGTGCATCCAGCGCAGGGCTCTGGGATGTTCACCATGTACCATGTGGATCGAGCCGTGTGTGGTAGCACTGGTAGCACTGTAAAGCGTGTCCGTGCGAGCACAGAATACACGCGCCTAGTAAAAGATGCGGCCCAGCCCCGAAAAATGGGACCCCCTGAACATAGCACCTCCCACCTTGCGCCCGAAGCTCCACACTATCAAGGGGGGCTGGGCACGACATCAACCTCGCCTTCCAGGCGAGGGCCCTCCAACGGGGTTCAAAACCGACGGGCTGGCATAACCCAGAATTGCCGGATGAGCCCACCACGGGGATTTAAAATCCCCCTCCTCCTGTAACCCTCAGTCCGCCCATCGTGCGCACTATCCCCCATGTGGGGGGGCTTGGCGTAACGGTATGGCCGTCCAGACCGTTACGAGTCCCGTCGCAGTCACCCCAGGTGAGTGACTCTGGAGAAGGTGAGGGCGGTCCCTGGCACACATCCTCGCTGCAGCTTCCGAAGCTCACTGCTGACGCGGGGGGGGGCACTCGCCCCTGCCAGGGAGCCACCTCTTGTCTGCTGCCTCACTCGGTCCTGTTCCGTGAGGCAGAGCTGCAGGAGTTTTGTGCCCCTCCCCATGCTATACCCCCCACAGAGGTTACAAAAAACAATTGGCATGCTACTCCCATCAATCCACCCCATGCTTAGGGAATGGTGAAGGGCTCGGCGCTTGTTAATTGCCTCTGTGAGGCGAGCCGTGTGTGCTTCAAGCTTCCTCCTCCTCCTCCTCCTTCTCCTCCTCCTCCTCCTCCTCCTCGCCGCCCCACGGGCACGACCATGAGGATTGAGGTCGGGGGTGGATAGACCTCCCACCCTGACACGTCGATTAGCGAATGTGCCGTTTCCGGGTCTGCGAGAGGGCGTCGCGGCCGTCATTTTTGCGGGTCAAGGTCCGTCGGTTTCGGTCCTAGGCTGTTTTCATTAAAGGGTGGTTTGCTAAAGGGAGGTTTGTCCACCGCCGAACGAGGGGATCTGAGACACACCATCGAGGTCAGAGAAGAGTGGATCGCCCCCTCTCCCCAGTGGCTCTCGCGCTTCCCATCCTGCACAACCTCGGATCGGAACACACCAGCTGAAGCAGAGACAGAGGAGGATACTGAGGAGTAAACAGCGGCGAGGTCGAGAACCCCAGGGGTGGCTTCAGCAGGATCCCAGATGCGACGCGCAATGGCACACCGATGTGCCAGTGCTGGTTCGTTTCTGCTTCGCCCTTGTGACGGAACCAGCGAGTGGTTGGGCAAGGAGCGCAGAGGGGGGCACGCAGCTCGAGGGAGCTGCGCGGGGAAGGAAGCGCTGCCGCACCGCGGGGCACAAGGGCGTTCGAACACCAGCCAGTCAGAAGTGTGCAGGAAGCGTGTCCGCCACGTGAGAGCGTGAGTCAAGCGCGTCTCGCTACAAAAACCTGGCATCGCTCGGACGTGTGCGTTTTTCCTCGGCGAGGACCATCGAGGAGCATCCTCGATCATTTGGCGAAAAAGCCACGCACGAAACCGACAAAAAACACGGGGAATGGACGTCCGAGCGATGGCGAGAGAACAGTCTTCTGCAGCACTGGAGGGCCCCGTCTTGCCGCCCCCTGCCTGCTGTCGCCCTCGAGGCAGGCGCCCAGGATCCAGCTCCAGCACTTAGTGGGCCCCGGAAACGACAGGGCCTTTCTTTTACCAGTTCTGCCGTTTTTGTTTGCCGGTTCCGATGCCGTTTTTGTTACCGGTTCCGTCGCCGTTGTTTGGTTGGTTCCGGCTCCGGTTCCAATCCTGGCGCCGTTTTTTTTGCCGTTTCCGGTCGCCGTGTTTTTGCCGTTTCCATTTTCAAGGGACATTCTTCTGGAAACGGTGGAAAAACGGCCCTGCCGTTTCCGGGGCCCACAAAGCTCCAGCATAGGGAACGCAATGGGGGAGTCGACGGGGTCACGCGAGAAGCGAAAGAGTGCCGCAGCGTGGGACCCAGTACGCTTCGAATGCTAGCCCAGAGATCCAACGCATCGAACAACAATCAGGACCGAGGTTTTTCGTATGTTTCGGCCTCGAGGGGCCCTCGCCCGGCCCCGGGACCGTCCAAAAACGACTCAGGATGAGAAACCGGTCCTGGGGAATGGGTCGAGACTTCTGGGGACCCCGTATGGAAAAATCACGACATCGGATCTCTGGGATTGAGCTATCTCCGCGGCGGCGGTCACCGCGACCCAGCTGAATCCGCCCTGAGCGGTCTTGACTGGGGCCGTGTGATGGTACAGGAGACATCCCCGGAAGGGGGGCGGGATGAGGAGGGCAGGAGGTGGATGAGGAGGGCCATTCTGGCCCCTCCCTCGCCGCCGCGGGCTACGTGCCCTGAACACCACGGCTACGAGGGCGACCCCACCCGCGCCTGTGGCCTGTGGCCCCGATGGCCACTGTGAGCACCTCTGCTGCGCCTCGCTCCCCCGTGTCCTGCCCTGGCGCCTCGCTCCCTGGAATCGCCGGGATGACAAAAAAGGCGACCTGGTTATTTCCCAAAAAGAAGGGGCGTACTTCAAGGGCAGAAAAAGCGCCCCTACCCTGGTTTACGAGGCGCTGTGCGCTGAAACTCCTGTGGGCTGACAGGGTGAACCCTGCGTGATGTGCCGCGTCCTGGCGGCTCTAGGCTTTGGGAGTTCTCAGGAGGTTTACAGACCGCGCACTTGTAACCCAGGGTAGGGTCGTTTTTTCATCCCTCAAGTACTGATAACGACGTAGCACCTCGCAATTGCGGACAGGAGTGGGGGGGCGGGCGAGGGGTGGGTAGCGGATGGGTCGCGGGTTGGGTTGCGGGTGGGTCGCGGCGAGTCGCGGGGTGGGTCGCGGGTGAGTCGCGGGGGGATTGCGGGCGTGGGCGATGACGACAACAACAATCGTTCAATATCCGTAAGGGCTTCGCCCCCATGCCGCTGGCCCCCCTCTCTTAGAATGGGACTTGCCAGAGCTGTGCTGGGATGTCTGGACGCTGACGTGAAGCAATGTCGGGACTTCACGCGAGGGGCAATTTCAAATTACGAGGGTTTATGGCGTGGTGGCGCCACCATGAGGTAAATTACGATGGTTTATGGCTTCGGGGACGCGAGTGCTGCGAAATTTACGAGGGCTTGCCTCGGGGACGCAAATCTTAATACTGTACAAAGGTGTATAGCCTCGGGGGCGCAACTATTGTATAATGTACGACGGTTTATGGCCTCGGGGACGCGAGGGTTGCATACTCTGCAAGGGTTTGTGGCCTCGGGCACGCAAGTATGGTGCAATCCAGGTGGTTTATGGCCCCGGGGACGCGAACCTTGCATGATGTTCGAAGGTGACTTGCTTCGGGGGCGCGGGTATTCCGTAACCCACGTGGGTTTATGGTCTCTGGGACACACATATTGTGTAAGATATGAGGGCGTATGGCTTCGGGGACGCGAACGTTGTGCAAGTGAATTGTATAAGTTATGAAGGTGTCTGGCCTCGGGGACGCGAATGCGGAGTTTTTTAGTAGGTGTTATGGCCTCGGGCACCAGACTCTCATGTATTTCTATATATCTCGCGCCCCCCCAGTAATTCAGACAACGCGATCTGGGCGTCGTGAAAAAGCTGGTGCGGGGCCACCTCCCCTCGCGCGTTCAGCAATAATTAACAGCAAGGATGCAGAAAGCAGGACTGTAACGAAGCAAGAAACTGCAACTGGAACAGGAAGCTACAATCCTCATCCTCGCAGCCTAGTGGCCCCGCAAGGGGGCCTGCGGATTGTTCGTTCTCATTTGCCCGCGTACCATCCAACACGTACATCTCAAACCCTCGATGTTTGCCCTTTTCGTCTTCTGTTGTATCCCCTTGGAGGCATATGTTCTTGATCCGCCAAGTGTATTTGGCGCACCCCCTGAAGCAAGGGAGAAGAGGACGGATGGAAGGAAGATGGAGCACGAGAGAGAGTAGCAGGAGGGGGTCTACGAGCAGAAAACACGTGGCAGAACCAGACCGGCAAATCGAGCGGGTAGACCCTGACGGGCGGGTCGTAACAATAATTTTGGCCTCGGGATGCTTCTTCAGCCGCGCACCCATGGACAATGAACGACCGTTCGGCCCCCACGCTCTGAGAACAAATGGGTCAGCTATAACCACAGGAGGTCCAGAGCAAAATGGACTGACACGACGCCAAGGAACGCTCAAGTATCAGTGAGGAGAGCTACCTCACGAGGGAGGGCTACATCCACGAGGGGGAACAGCCAGCGGGGGAGCTAGTGCCAGAAGGAGCGCTACAACGGGCACGAGACCTTCCGTTGGGATGATTACCGACAGTCACAAACGGATACATCTACGCGGAGAGCTTAAGCTTGCTGGAAGGTGCCAGCAATCATTGTGGCCCACAACTAGTAAAGCTTCAGCTACGAGCAGAGCGACAACTGCGACGAGAACAACAACCTGTGGGAACGAGGGCTACAGCCTGAAAGAGAGCAACAGGCTAAAAGACAGCTGCAGCTCCGACGGGAGAGCCACCCTGAACGAGGGCTACAATCTTGCTAAGATCACCAGCCACATCGAGTGCTTGCTTGAGCCACAACGAGAGCTAAATCTGCGAGGAGAGCTTCAGCTTGAAGGGAAGCTACGGCCAGCTGGAGAACTACGGCCAGCTCCTCAGCGTGACGCCGTTACGTCTCTCAAGCTGGCCCTGCACGTCAGGATGGCCAGCCTCGCCCGCCTCAGACAAAAAAAACTGCCACAACGGCCTAGAGCCTAGAGGGTACCTTGAGTGCGATGGAAGCTGACTCGGGGCGTGGGTCGTTTCGATCTGGCTTGGTTACCTTTGGCGTCAAGGCAGCGGGTTCCACAAAGAGATCAGATTCCCCAATGCATTGCTGAGTTTTTGAAGCAATATGTGTCCCAGCAGATCCCTGTCCCAGCAGCGTCTGGGCCTCAGCCCAGAGTCTACGCCTTGTTCCACAACGGAGGGCACCTTTGACGCACTCTGCGCCCAGGTTGCTGCGAGATCGGAAGGACCGTGAGGGTCTTCGAGGGTGGGGATGAGCCACGGCGCGACCAGCCAAACTGAAACCTGAGGAAGACCATGCGTGGATCACCAGGGACGCCTCCTACAGTCGGGGCGCTGAAGAAGGAACCCTTTTCGTTGGGGAGGGGCTCGGGGTTCCTGGATTGTTGTGCAGTTTTCCTTAGGTCTCCTTGAGTGTTTCCATGGGAAATCAAAGTTCAACTTTTGGGGAAAAGGGGCCTCGCTCCTTATTTAGGGTTCCTGAGGTCAGCGCCCCGACTGTACCGCATCTTCGACGAGATTCACGCGTGAATCGCCGTGAGCGGTTTCTACGACAATTCTGGCGCGAACCACCACGCGCGTCGCTAATTCTGCGTGACGAGTTCTCCTTTTGTCTCTCTCCGACCTCTGAGGTGCACGTTGTTCAGACTCTGGGATTTGGCTGTCCTTTCCTTACTTCCTACCTATATCTAGTTTGCAAAATTGCATCTGGCCACTTGCAAGGGCGCATCCAGCGCGCCATCAGCGCGCGGAGCGAAGGCAGGCGGCGAGGTGGCGCAGCGCGCGCGATGAGGATGAGCACCTCGTCCTCCTCCTCCTCCTCCTCCTTCTCCTGGGCGCTGGGCACTGATGGCATTGATGTCACTGGCGACGTGGCCTTCTTCCTCCTCCTCCTCATGCTCCTCCTCCTCCTCGGGAGGCGCCTGGGGGAGGGCGCCTGGGGGAGGGCGGGGCCAAGGCCGCCCACGACTCCTTCGCGCGCCTCTCCGAGCAGTCTGCCATCTGCGCAACCTGCGCCGTCCAGAGCATGAAGGACCAGCCCCGCACGCCTCTCGCGGCGCCGGCCGCACGTGCCGCCCTGGTCGCCTCCACCAGCTCGTCGTCGTTGTCGTCGTCATCGTCGTTGTTCGAGCATCGAGCGTTCGGTACCTTGAGGCTCAGGGGGCTGCCAGGGTGGGCTCTTCGAAGACCTCTGGAGACTCTCGAAGACCACGGCAATTCCCGCCCGGGCCCCCAGTCGGTGCAGTGACCACACCGTGTGGTGAACCAGTCGGGGTTCGGGGTGACCGCCCAGTATTGGGGTTCGGGTCGTTTCTCCGAGGATATCTCGGGCGACTCGAGTCTCCGAGGTCCCAACAAAAATTGTGCGGTCAAGGACCGTGCGGTGAGGTCTTTTTTGGGATATCGAGGTCACCGCACGGTCTTTGGACCTCAGAGGCTCCCAAGCATTATTGGGAGTCAGCCATTCGGAGAGAACGAGTCGTCGGAGGTCAGGGCGTTCCTTTTGTCGAAGGCGAGGAGACTGAGGAGGAGAAGAGGAGAAGAAGGAGGATGATTCAGGCTATTATGCATGTTTGGTTCGTGATGAGCTTCTTGAGGCTTCCATGATTTCTGCCTCTGGTGACTCTTGAAGACATCCCGAGACGCCCCTTGTCCTCTGTACTCTTTCCCGGGCGTCCTCTCGCGTCTGCCGGCGGCGTGAGTGGCGACTCTTACAGTCTCGCGCCACCCCGCAGGCGAGGCCGCATAAAAGGAGCACGCCCAGCGCACAGCCCCGCGTCGCGCGCACACACACACACACACACGCACACACACTCACACCCACCCACACACACACACACAACACACACACACACACGCACACGCACACACACACACACACACACACACGCACACACGTACACACACAGACACGCACGCACGCACGCACGCACGCACGCACGCACGCACGCACACACGCACACACGCACACACGCACAGACATACAGTCATACAGACATACAGACATACAGACATACAGATATACAGACATACATACATACATACATAGACGCACACACGCACGCGCACGCACGCACGCACGCACGAACACATACACACTCACACACACTTTTTGAAGCCAGCTGCGCAGAGGATCTTCAGGCGCGAGCAGCAGATGGAAGAGCCAATTGCGATCGAGCATTGTCGAAGAGGCAATTGCGATTAAGCATTGTCGAAGGCACGGTGCACAACCCGTGCACACTGTAAACTGCAGCGATGGGGGCACACACACACACACGCGCACGCACACACACAAACACACACACACACACACACGCACCCACGCACACACACACACACACGCACCCACGCACACGCACACACACACACACACACGCACACACACACACACACACACACACACGCACACACGCACACACGCACACACACACACACACATGCACACACACACACACACACGCGCGCGCGTCCTCCCTCCTGGTGGAGGCCTCCGCCCAGGAGGCCGCTGAGCCCCCCCCCTTCCTCCGGGAGTGCCAGGAGGCTCTCTTCGGCGGGGAGGCCCGCCGGGCGCCCCTCCCCGTCTGCTCGCCTCCCGGGGCCCAGAGGGCAGTTGAAAGAGGGTACGACCTGTACCCATCTCGGGGGCCCCTAAACGGGGCGGTGACCACACCGTGCGGTGAGTCAGTGGGGATTCGGGGCCACCGCACGGTTTTGGGGCTCGGGTCGCATGCCCCCGTCCTGGCGCGCCCAAACAGTCGCTCAGGCGCCCCCCTTTGGCCCTGCCACCTCCTTGGAGGTGGCCCTAGGCCGCCGTAAGAGTTTGCTCCGCGCACCCCTGGTTCCGCCAGCACGGAATCCCGACAAAAAGTTGAAACGGGTCACCGCACGGTTTGGGGACTCGGGTCGTTCTACGAGGACGTCTAGGGCGACGGGGGCCTCCAGGGTCCCAAGACCGTGCGGTGACGGACCGTGCGGTCATGTCTTGGGGGGTTTCAAGGTCACCGCACGGTCTGGCACCGCACCGCATCGGGACTCCAAAGTACCCATCGGCAGCTGAGAGATGGTACGATGGGATGTAGGTATCAGATCGATGTCGATTCGGGGAGCGTGTCCTAATGTTAAGTCGGGCGTGTCCCCCTACAGGGGGGTTTCCGACGAACAATTCACCCTAAATACACCAAAAAGGTCAAAACATATTCAAACAATTGTCCCCAGGCTATGTTTGGATTATTGTTGGATTATGTTTGGGGTATTTTGTAGCTTTCGTGGAAAATCCCGCTGTAGGGGGACAGGCGCGACTAAACCCTAATGTTCTTCGTGCTTGTTGGGCCTTCCTGTGCACCCTGGGGAGGGTGCCCTTGGATGTTCCGCTCTCTTCTGGGCCAACAGACGGTCTCATGTTCTTGAGGGGTGATCTTCTGGCCTAGGTTCGATTGTATTTCTGGACTCCCATATCCCAATGTACTTTGGGCGCCGTCCAATACTTCAATCATCGAGCCCTGTTTCCGTTTCCTTCCTCTTTGGGGGGCGGGCGGAAAGCCAGTTTGTTTCCAACGTTTTCTTGCATCATGCTTCTACCCGTTCCTTTCACATAAGAGAAAGTGCACCCCAGGAAATATAAGAACATATGGTAAGTCGGGTGGACGACGAAGCTCCAGATTATTTTTTCTTTTTTTCAGAAATTCTAGGACATCCTGGGATTTGTGTCTAAGGGAATGTGTGTCCCTGGGCTCCTTTTGGAGTGGGAGGAGGTGGGAGGACTTCTCAGAAGCACCCCTGCTTTTTTAGAATGCGCGGGCCTGATCTACAGATGTCAGGCGGGCGCCCTCGAAGAAGCCGTCTTCTTCTGAGAAGCCTTCCCCCCTCCCTCCAGGGCTGGACCTACACGGTGTTCTGGCGGTTTCGTGGACCGTTTACGTTGTGGCTTCGTTTTGCAGCGAGAGCGGAACGAAGAACGAGGGGCAACGAACACGAAGCGGAGACGAAAGACACTGTTCTGGTCGAGCCCTGCATCCGTCCCCCCCCCCCCCCTTGTGCGTGCCGCCAACAGGAGGGCGTGCACCGATCCCGGGCCCAGGGATGGCCAGGAGCGGTGCAGGTGAGCAGTCGGCGTCGTCGTCCTCCCAACGAAGTTGTCGCGCGCACCCCCCCCCCCTCACCGCGCCCCTGGCCGGAGGACGCCGTGGCGAGGCTGGAGGAGCAGCGGTCCGCGCTGGTGCTGGCAGCAGGCCTCCTCCTTCTGCCGGGGAGGAACTGGTGTCGATGCCACTACGTATATCCTTGCGTCATCGCCATTGCGTGGCAGGGTCTGATGGGCTTGCTTTCCACCACCACCACCACCATAATTAAGTTGGAGGGGGAGGGGGTCCTCCTCTTCCTCCTCCTCCTCCTCCTCCTCCTCGTCCTCCTTCTTCTCCTCGTCCTCCTCCTTCTCCTCGTCCTCCACTTATGGTGGTGGTGGTCGTGGGAAACAGGCTCATCAGGGTCCATCCCGATCTGAGCGATGCCACATCGGTTCTGGCCAGCCCCAACCGTTTCGATCGATTCCGCTATGCCAGGGATCCCATGCGGTCCGATGTTTGCACGGCGGTGTTCGGCACAGTGCCGCGGCCGATCCGGTTCGATCCCGGCTGCATGCCGATGGAGCCGATTCCAGATTCGATGCTGAATGGCCCTGCCACGGCTGGATTCGCCTCGAAATCTGCGGCGTAGCAGTGGTGTCTTGCTCCCCAGAGATGCCTCAGCTTGCGGGGCTCTTTCTTGGTCATCATGAGTGCGTGTTCTGAGACCTCTGCTGGTTTTGTTGTTGTCTTTGCCTTTATAATTCGACGCGATCGAAATGGGTACGGAAAACATGGGGAGAATATTGACAGCAGTTCTTGCCCCCTCTGAATAGGACACGTGGGCGCTGTCGTTGCGGATGTGGACCATTGGAGGCAAATTGTCGCCCGCCCATCAGCGGCCGCTGCCGTCTCTGGACAAAATCTGCCGTTGGGCACCGTGCGTACAGTGCCGTTTTTAATACATGCTCCGCGTGCGGATCATGTATTAAAAATGCAAGGGTTTAGTATTAGAAACAACGATGAGTTCATGCATACATTTATTCATACATGAAGCATGTATTGAAATCCAATAGTTGTTCTAAACATCCCATGTATTAAACATTGTCCTGTAGCTTGCGATCGAGAAGCCGCCGACCGTTCAAGGCTGATCTGTCCACGCGGCGCCAGAAGCCACCGCGGGAGTCGTCACGACACGAGTCAGCCGCAGGGGTGCTCGCAGGACTGTTTGTTCGACGCGGGGGTCCTCACACGTGCAGCTCAGCTCCTGGCGTCGCGCCGCCTGGCAGCGCCTGCGCGGGAGAGGCTTGGCCTGTAGCGGCTGAGAGCTCCCCGGCGGCTCCCCCTTGGAGGGCCCACATGCGAGGTCTGCTACATCGGGATGGCCTCGACACTCTGCCCAACCCAACCCGAACGCCTCAATTTGCCCTCCATTTCCAGTGGGGGGGGTCGGGGGTCGGGGGTGCCTAAAACAGCGTTTCCCCAGAGGTGCCACGTTGCGGGCGCGAACTGGCAAGGGAGACGCCCCAATGGTGGCCCTCCCATGGGGTGCGCACGTGCTACGCCCTCTAAATCGCAGTGTTCGGGGGGGCTCTGAACGCAGAGGAGCCAGGGTTGCCAAACCTTATGTCGGAAGTGTCCCCCTACAGGGGGATTTTCGACGAAAAATAAAAAAAAATACCCAAAACATACTCCAAGAAGGCCAAAACATGTTCAAAACATAGTCCCCGGACTATGTTTGCATTGTTTCTTTTATTATGGTTGGGGTATGTTTCTATTTTTCGTCGAACATCCTCCTGTAGGGGGGACACGCCCGACGTAAGCCGAACCCAGCCGGCGTGCTCGCCACGCTCGCGCCCGTGCCCGCCACAGGTGGGCACTCCCAGCGTGCTCGCCACGCTCGCGCCCGTGCCAGCTCGTGGGTGCCTCGTGGGCGCCCCGTGCGCCGGGCAGGCCTCCCGAGGCTTCGCCTCCTCCTCCGCCTCCTTCTCCTCCCTCTCTCTCCTCCTCCTCCTCCTCCTCCTCTCTCCTCCTCCTCCTCCCCCTCCTCCTCCTCCTCCGCCTCCTCTCCTCCTCTTCCTCCTCCTCCTCCTCCTCCTCCTCTCCTCCTCCTCCTCCTTCCTCCTCCTCCTCCCCCTCCTCCCCCTCCTCCCCCTCCTCCCCTCCTCCTCCTCCTCCTCCCCCCCTCCTCCTCCTCCTCCTCCTCCTCCTCCTCCTCCTCCTCCTCCTCCCCGTGCGCTGGGCTGGTTTTCCAGAGGGGTCGCTGCCTTCGCGCCTGCGCCCGCGCGTGAGGCGCCTCGCAGGCATCCCAGTGCGCCGGGTGGGTTTCCCTGGGATGCACCTCGTTGGCGCGCCTGCCCGCTCGTAGGCGCCTCGTGGGCACCGTCGTGGGCGCCTCCGGGGCGCTGCACGGCTGACACCGCACAGCTCACACAGGCGGCGTGCCCCACGGAGCTCACACGACATGCAGCTCATGGCCTGGCTCGCGCCGCATCGCTTACACCGCACAGCTCCAAGAGCACATGGCTCACGCCACACCTGTTTAACCACATGGCTCGCATAGCTTACAGCGCATGGCGCTCGCCACGTAGCTCCCGCCGCATTGCTCACACCACGTAGCTTCCACCACACAGGTTGCACAACGCAGCTTGCACCACACCGCTCACCCCGCACAGCCTCCACCTTCGCAGTGCAATGACTCACTAGTTGGGGTCCGCGGTGGCTACCACCTGTGCGCATCCTAACCATATACATATATATATATACACATATGATTTATGTGTATGCGTACATTCATACATGCATGCATGCATGCATACATACACAGAGAAGGAGCGAGAGAGAGAGAGAGAGAGAAACTTAGCCTGACGAAGGACCCACCCATATGCAGGTGTGAGTACCGCAATTGTGATTTACTTTTTCGGTGGTGATCCCTATGAGGCAACGAACCGTGCTAGGGGTGTGCCGAAATGAGTAGCGTGGTACACAACGCGAACGAAAACGAACAACACAATGCGGACTGCGCCACGGGGACCTTCGGTGGGGCTCCATATGGGGCCACGAAACGCTGTACTGGGTGAGGGAGACGCATGCGGACTGCGCCACGGGGACCTTCGATGGAGTTCCCTATGGGGCCACGAAACGTGTGAGGGGTGTGCCGAAATGAGTGGCGGGGACGCATGCTGGCTGTGCCACTGAGACCTTCGGCGGAGCTCCTATGGGGCCACGAAACGTGTGAGGGGTGTGCCGGAATGAGTGGCGGGGACGCATGCGAAGTGTGCCACTGGGACCTTCGGCGGAGCTCCTATGGGGCCACGAAACGTGTGAGGGGTGTGCCGAAATGAGTGGCAAGGACGCATGCGAACTATGCCGCTGGGACCTTCGGCGGAGCTCCTGTGGGGCCACGAAACCTGTGAGGGGTGTGCCGAAATGAGTGGCGGGGACGCATGCGAACTGTGCCACTGGGACCTTCGGCGGAGCTCCTATGGGGCCACGAAACCTGTGAGGGGTGTGCCGAAATGAGTGGCGGGGACGCATGCGAACTGTGCCACTGGGACCTTTGGCGGAGCTCCCTATGTGGCAACGAAACCTGTGATGATGTTGTTGATGATGATGACGATGATGATGACGATGATGATGGTGATGATGATGATGATGCTGGTGATGCTGATGCTGATGCTGATGCTGATGCTGATGATGATGATGATGATGATGATGATGATGATGATGATGATGATGATGATGATGATGATGATGATGATGATGATGAGAGGAGGGAAGAGGGGGAGGAGGAGGAGGAGGAGGAGGAGGGAGAGGCAGAGACGCGGGGACCGTCTCTTCAAACCGAGGACCCAACAACACAGGTAGGATGGGGGGAGAAACACAGGGATAAAGAGAGAGAGAGAGAGAGAGATATATATATATAGATATATATATATATAGAGAGAGAGAGAGAGAGAGCACGGTCAGGCTCCCAGGGCCCCACCCGGGGAGGGCGGGGGCTGTCCGGTTGCCGTTGGGCCGAGGGATGATCATTGTGATATGTCATATTTTTATATACACATAATCGAAGTTTACATGTATATATACATGTATATATATACATGTGAACTTCGATTGTGTATATATACATGTTATGGTATATGTATATTTGTACACAGAATCGAAGTTTACATGTGTATATACATGTATAGAGTGTGAGAGAGGGGAACACAACAGCAACACCAACAGCAACACACTCAGCACCAACAGCGCCAAAGCAATCAGTTTAGGACGGTTCGCTCTTACCTGCTCGCGTGCCACTCAACACGTACATCCAAAACCCTCGATTTCTTCCTTCTTCGTCTTCGATCGCACCCCCTTTGGGGTATGTTGGGGGTCCCGAAACGGTGCGGTGAGGGACCAGGCGGTGACCCCAGGATTTTTCTGGCCAGGCACGGTTTCCACTCCAGGCCCCTCCAGAAGGGTCCGCGGCGGGGTTCGCGCGAATCCCATCCTGCGCCCACGAACGACGAGGGGATCCACAGCAAGTCAGGAAGTCCCGAGCCAACATGCTACCACTGA